AAAAAACAAAACATGTAGATTACTCAAGCAAATACCTCCAAAGGTAAACTAAACTAATGTCCCTCGACAGAAATATTGGTCAGTTTGTCTTCGTTGTAGTTTATTTTTCAACCATTTCTCACGATTTTCGCAACTTTAGTTAACGACAACGCCGCCATCTTAGAATATACGAGAATAAAGCCAAGTCCCGCAAAACGATTACGTAACTTCAAGATAGACAGGAGCTATAAACCACGGACAGACTTTAATTAGAATGTCTATAAACTTACCTAGTTTTTTATCAATAGATAGTTCACGTAATAACAGTTTCTAACTAAGACCTTGACTGGGCTGGTCTGAAGCGAGATTTTTTTTCTTTCGAAAAAAATAAAACTTGCTTGTTAGCACGGCCAGAAGCACCTAAAATGTCTCACAGATCTACACAAACGGTGACGTACGCGCTCTTTGATTTAGATTTTCTATTTTGATGTACCAACAGTCTGAAAATAAAAAAGTAATATTTATATTGAACAGTCAAATGTATTTGAGCTGGAAACAAATCTGAAATATTTATTTGTTGCTAAAATAGGTTAAATAATAACAATACTATGTGTAGATTTTACGGTTACGTAAACTGTCAATCGTAACATCGAAGTACAGTTACTGGATTGTAAAGCGGGAACTGTATATATAGCCGTCTGCTTGGTACAGCTTTTTAGCACCAAGTTTAGTGATAAAATCAGCAAAAACTATTGGTGCGTTATTCTTGTATACATTCACGAAAATGTTGCATATAATCTCACAATAAGTTAAAAACCAAATCAGCATGGCCTTAATGCTATAGGAAAAAAATGCAGACGTTTGTACTCACCCTGTAGGAGCCAAGTTTTGACGTTCTAACCCTGCGTATTTACGCGGAACCTGACGTCCTTGGCACCTGTCGGCACGTACGCATTGGCGTAAACACGCGCTGTTAAACCTTGTAGCAAACTGAAAACGAGGCATTGACGTCAGAATTTTCGGCATTTTGCGGCAATTCCGAATTCCTTCACGATTTATAGGTCGGTGTACATGTACATTTTGTGATAATGGGTTTTAACCTAGAATCTGATCACCCAGATGTAAAGAAATCGCTGAAATTGATAAAGAGTCCGGGAACAGACTTTGCATGTATTTTTTGGACGATAGATAAGCAGTTTGGTGTGATACCCAGGAAGGATTGTTTGCACCATGAAGACAGTTTAGAGGACCTTCTGTTTGGCGATGCCTTCCAGGCAATGTACGGAAAAGAGAAGTACGATGCGGTTTTTGTAACGCATGGTAAGGTGATTTTTTATATTCTGATTTTAGTTATTACAGTTTTTGTACAACGATAAAAGCCTGAATAATATCTACATCGTTTGTTTTTGTTTTGAATTAGTGGATAGTAATAGTTTTATGCAATCTGTATTATTTCTCGTTTATTTTTAGATAGCAATATAATTATTTGTAGATTATATGTTTGGTAATCTGTTTTACCGTACTAGTCCGACTTAGCACCTATGCTCAACTAAGCGCCCAGCCTACTTTCGGGAAATTTTATTTTGGGATAAAGTTCGTCTTAGCGCCCAACCCTTCTAAATTATGACTGCCTAGACATCGTCTGACTTTTCCGAATACCAGTACCCAAATTTATATAATACAGCGTAAATATCGACTGCTGCCAATGCGAAAACTACATATACCCATCGACGATGACCTGTTAAAATTCCAGTTTACCTTGCAATATTTTTTAATTACAATTTGTTTCTACATCATGCCATTTTTCGTCAAAATCAATTTCAACAGATCGTACTTCGACATCGCTTCTTCGAGGCTTCTTCATTGCCTTACCGAAATGCCTTCGGGAATTCCCGGAGAATTTCGTCGGTACAACCCATCATTCTGATTGGTTAATAACAGACTTGACCTATTAGGTCAACAGACGTTGTTGTAGGTCAAATCTCCTGGGTCAAATCGAGAGTTTGCGTACGATCGAACACATTCGACAACGAGGTGATAAAGAGTTTGCCTTCGACTGTTCTCCCTCAGACTAATAATTTTTACATCGTAAATAACATTGGAATATTAAAATGTGCGTTTTTTTGTTACCATTTCTGTTTCTTCATTGTAAAAGTGCTGGGTAAATCAATGACGTCTAAACTAATTTCGAAATTTTATTATTGACTGAACTAAAATTGTCATTTGTTTAATTTTACGAAAGCGTCAAGTAATAGAACGTAATGGCTTATTACGTAATGGTTTATTTATGTATACTCTGAGTATTATTTAATGCAACAATGCCACAAATTCTTACTAAATAATGTCCCCAACTGTGTAATTCTACAACTCAATTATCTCATCATAGTTAAAATGAGACAACTTAGACATGGTTGTGTAAAAAAACAAAAACATTGTCTATGTGTAAAGTTATATATGTATTTTTCTGTTGTTTATTTAATTCATTTCAGTTTAACTGAAAATCTAATACAACTGATGTCAATGAGAATTTTAGTACACAAGAACATTTAGTAAATCCTGTTTGCTTTGTCATTAATGTTCAGTGATTTATTTATTTATTTATTTATTTATTTATTTATTTATTTATTTATTTATTTATTTATTATGTACAGGAAATGCTGTTATAGATCAAGCAAAATATCATATAATTTATCAGATAAATTTGTTTTTTCATCTTCAATAACATTTCTTTTATTTCACACATTAAGTTGTCCCTTTTTATTTTAAAACTTGGACATTGCAAAATAAAATGTTCAAGGGTTTCTTCGACTTTTTTCATAACATGGAAAAATTATGTCATCTTCACTATTATTTTCCCATTTTCTTTTTTCATATGCCAACCCAAGAGTACATGATCTTGCTCTGAATTTTAGCTGTGCTCCTTTAAAGTTATTTATTGACTGAAGATATTTTTAACTTTTCAAGCTAGTTTTGAATTATCTATAATAATTAAGGCTTGATTTTAACTTCATATCTTCTCTCCGCTTGGATTCATCATGGTTCAGAACCAACGTGATTCAAACTATTATTACACAATGTATCAGCACTGGTTGTTTTAACAGGCATGAATCGTTAAATCAGCTCATATTTCTATTAATTACCATTTATACTAAGTGAAAAAGTTGGTATACAAAATATATAGTGCCGTATGCTAGATTTGATTTATTTGTCACATACTTGGGTGTTTATTTGAGTACCTGCAGCTTTTGTAACTTTGAGGCTTGTGTTGATATATTTGTTGCAAGCAGACACTTCAGTAAATCATATAAATTATATTCATTAACATTAGGTGCTAGTGAATCAGAACTGGTGAAGTTGGCAAAAAAATTGTCATCAATTAGAATCGTTAGAATCAGTCATGAAACACCAAACTCTGGTAAAAGACAACGCAAAAATAAACAGCGTGCTGATTTTGTGGATGAAGAAGACAGATCTTCTGAAGAGGAAACTGCAGGTAATGATCAGTTTTTATACATTTTCACAAGTAAGTCTGATATTACTTGCCCGTTATGGACTAGTGCGAAATTCTCATTTTTTTTCAGGTAAATTAATTGCCAGCTGCTACAGCGATAGCCATTTTTGAAGCGCATAGTCAAGTCAAATGTACAAACATCAATGTAGCTTTAAAAGTTGTTGCAAAATTATTTAAACTTAAATCCTTTTGAAAGCTTTGTTGCATTGTCCAATCACTGTGTTGATCTGGTTGTCAATCACGCTTTTGAGAACTTACCGACTTTCAAATCAATGGAACTTCTGAAAAGAAATGTATACATATTAACAATTTCCTACAATGTTAGTATATTATCTACGTTGGATATCACTTTAATTCCAAGACAAGGCTTATGGCTTTTATGGTAAAACATATTAAATTGATTTTCTTTTGATTTGTCTTGCACCTTCAGAGTCTCCAAGGAAAAAGAGAAAAAACATTAAGACAACTAGCAAAAATAAAGTTAGCACTAAAACATCTAAAGAAAAAGAAACAAAAGGTAAGATTGCATTTTTGGAATAATAATATTGTACTTTACGATCATTATTCCTCTCTCAAAGACTTAATATTTCCCTAAACGAGCACATGGTGAACCAACATTGTAATTAAGATAATTTTTAGATGTGGGAGGGTGTTCTGCTAGGTGCCCACTCCCTAAAAAAGATTTTCAAAACTTGAGTATCCTGGGTATGGTAACAACATACAGATATACTGGGTACGACAGCTGATTAAATGTTAAATTTATTATTGATGTGTTTTTTTTTCAGTTTTGATATATCTCTACCTTAATTAAGAAAACAACACTATAGTTGTACACTACAGTTTTATGGATTTTCTTGTGGTACATTTTATACAGTGCATGTTGTTTATTGAAAATGCTGTTTTGTTTAGCTTAATTTGTTCAGTTCAGTAGCACAGAATAATACTATGTTTGTAATGATAAAACCTTTTTCGTCACCAGAGTCGAAAGAAGCTAAAGAAAAGAAACAAAGAGCAACTCAAGCCAAAAAACAGGCATCACAAGACCAGGCAAAGGTGATACTTGGTGATCTTATCGATGTACGAACATCAGACCAAAACAGAAGATCCCCACCTAACCAAGATGACAGGTCCCCTCCCAAACATAGTGACAGGACCCCTCTCAACCAGTATGACAAAGCCCATCCAGACCAACAAGACAGTTCCCTTTCCAACCAACATAGCAGGTTTCTCCTCAGCCAACACAACAGGTACTCTTCCAACCAACATGACAGTAGATCCCCCACCCGCCAACATGATAGACCCCCTCCAAACCCATGTGACAGTAGATCCCCCACCTACCAACAGGACAGCCCCCCTCCCAATCAACACAACAGCTACCCTTCCAACCAACATTACAGTAGATCACCCACCCACCTAAATGACAGTCCCCCTCCCAGCCAATACAACAACTACCTTCACAATCAGCATGATGGATCCTTTTCCAACCAACACCACAGATGCCCTACTAACCAACTGATTGCAACCAATGACAGATCTGTCAACCAACATGACAAATCACCACCCCTTGAGGAGTACAGCAGACCACTTTCTGGCCAACATTACATTTCCTATCCTGACCAATGTTACAATTACGCTCCTGACCATCAATTCAGTTCTCTCAATGAACACACCAATACCAGCCCATCTTTCCTAACTCTACTTGGAAATTCTGATGTGTGTGCTGAATGCCTTTTAAAAGACAAACAACTGAAAAGCATGCAAGAAAAGCTTCAGAAAACAGAGATGGACTATCATCATATAAAAATTAAATACCAAGAATTGAAGGCTTCAAAAGGTAAATAAGTGCTTCTTTATGTGCTTGTAATGATTTCATGGTTTTTAGCACATGTCTCCTAAGTTTAATGATCTGAATCTCCCTGATGGCTTTATTGCTCCCTGTTGTAAAGGTATTGAAATATTGTTCATATGTGTGCAATTGTAATATATAAAAAAAAAATATGTTCAATACCATATTCTTTTTCTTTCAGCTTTATATTCATCTACAAGCATCTCTCACACTCCTAAACACTATGTACCAGTGCGTGGTGTACAGATTCCTGCAGCACCACATGTAAGCATATAACATTTTTAGTCTTGGATGAAGATGGTTACTAATAGATTTTGGTTGTTTTCTGTGTGTTTATCCTTCAGAAGCTATATCGCCTAAAGTCTTGTATCTGGTGTGATAGTGACACAGAATTTGAATGGCATACATAATACACACCATATGTATTCCTAATTGTTAGACATCTTGAGTGTCTAAACAATAGAGTGACTACATGTATAACCATCTTAAATGACAACCAGTGCAAAACACATACCATATTTTATACTGTCGTATACATTGTGCTACGCACAAATTATTCTGAAATAAATTTTGAAAGATTGGTTTGTTAGCTAGAATATACAAAAACAACTAACACTTTTAATTTGTATTATATGATTCTTTCAGGAATTTGTAGCCCTAGGGACCGATCCACCATTAGGGTTTGAGAGGCTGGGGAGTACCAATTTATGTGTACAAAGCTTATGGTTATCAACAGTCACATCTAAATGCAGAAACGATTCTCCATCACTTTTTATGAAAAAAATGATAGATGGTTTTTTTCTACCAGAGCAGTTGAGTGGTATGAACAGAACTAAACTGGCGGAAAATATAACCATAGATGCATTGATTAGTAAGTATCTAGATAGATTGGCTATAAAAAATTGGCATTATAATGATTTTTGAAACCTTTTCACATGCAATATCAGGCATATGATACATGTTACAAAACAATTGATTCTTGCATATTTAAATTTTACCATTAGGTTTTCTCTCTTTATTTGTAGAGTATGCCTGTAGTCATCTAAAAATGGCAGATAGGGACATAACTACATTGGTGAACCAGAAGTGTTGCTCCATGAAAAGAGCTCACCTCAACAGCATGAGAGGAAACAACACACAGGAGACCAATTAGTGCCTTTTTTTTTATTTAGTAACTGACTGGTCTTTTTCAATAAAATATTTTTTTGGCAATATATTTATCTTGCAGTTAATTTGTTGTTCACCAAACCCCAGTATACAGCTGGATGCATTTTGACGATGTCAGAATGTACAAGAAAGTTCCCAGTACTTTCTGCATAGTCCTTTTATAAAATCTCATTGCTGCATAAAGCTGAAACCTTCCCGATGCTTTCTCGCATAGTCCTTTCATCAAAATGGTTTGCTGCATAAAGCTGAAACCTTCCCGATACTTTCTCGCATAGTCCCTATTCAAAATAATTTGCTGCATAAAGCTGAAACCTTCCTGATTCTTTCTCGCATAGTCCATTTTTAAAATGGTTTGCTGCATAAAGCAGGAACCTTGCCGCATAAAGCGGGAACCTTCCTGATACTTTCCCGCATAGCTAATTTGCATGCGAAAAAGACACCTATCTGGAAGGTTCCCGATAGCTATCTGGTGCTGAGCAGGTACACTATGCAGGAACCCTTATATTTTTATAAGGGATACTTCTGATACGCTGCTACTTGTATGTATCGATTTTATACTAATTCACTTACGACATACTTTGACATCTTTTTCCCCCAGAAATGACCTTAATTGACAGATTTAGTACTTCATTTACTATGAAATTAGTAGTCAGAATCGATTCAGAATCCTTCAGCGAAAATCACCTCAAGATATTATACTACTACTAGTACTATCGACACAACAAACCCATTCCCTTTATTTTAATAAATATTTATAAATTTTAATTGCGGTTGAATTCAATCAGCCAATCAATG